ATATTAAAAATTGTTTTATGCGGCCAGGACTGTATTTCTACATTGACTGTTTCCGAGGTATAAAACATCCATTTTGAAAATGGATGCAAATAAGTGGTCCATCAAAAATAATTGACACTAATAGTTTAAATGTTTTTCTAATAGATTTATTATTTTTAATTTTTAAAATTTATTTATTTTTTTATATTCATTATCTCCATATTGAAAACTACATGTCCTAAAAAAAATTAGGTCAAAAAATCCATCTCAAAAATAGATTTCTAAGATGTGCCTCATTTTTACATGGACACATATAAACCGTGTCCTATAAATATTGTGCTCCGTGATTTTTTTCATATTGTGCTTTGTTGCAAAACGAGATGGTTGAAATTATAAATAAAAGGGCTTTAAATAAAGGGTGTGGTCTGTATAAGGCCAAGGTCCTAAACAATCAAAGTAAGGCATGACTTCAAATAGTATCGAAAGATGTTTTAATATTGAAACTCTTTGTGATGGTCTGAGAATTTATTTTCATATCTAATTATAAAATTTAAAGCTTACGAAAGTGTAGATTGAGGCTCAATCATTGAGCAGATCTATGAACAATTGAAAAATCTTGAAAATTGACCGTTCGAAAATGCATTATAAAATGGACTACTTTCAAGACTTGAAATCTAATTTTTTCTCATGCCCATGCATATTGAGTTGAGATGATCAATTTAAAGATTTTTAGACATTGAAACAACGTCTTCTAATGAAATTCTTGAGGTGTGCTTTAATTTGATTGTTTAAGACCTCGCACTTATATAAACCCTTTCCTTTAATAAAACAACATATGCGTTATATGCAAATAAATTAATTCTCAACAAGTATCGTGAGGTTTGCCAGCCTTGATTGAATATTTGTCAATTTTTGTAAATATTGTTTCCTAGTTGGAAGAAGGTTATTTATTATTGGAGAGGTATCAAGTTGGTAAGAAGACCGCGAATGAAAAGATAACTGATGGAGTAGTGGAGGGTAAATACGAAAAGCCCTAGAGAAAAAAATTGATTCGTTATTGGAGAAGATTGGAAGAAGAAATGGTCGGAAAGACCCTCCTCTGAGGAGGAAATTAAAAAATTTTGTGTCTAGTTTGTTTGGGGACAAGGCTCTTTAACCTGATGGCTTTCTCCTCATTTTGTTCCAACACTTTAGATAAACCATACAAAGAGATTTGATGTTTATGATGGAGGAATTCTATTATAGAGGATGCATAAATAAAGTTGTGAATACTCTACATATATTGCGCGCTCTTTAGGATGTAAATCGAAGGGATTTTAAGAGGAAGATCCCTCCGATTTGTATCGTAAATAATTTGGCGCCCACTATGGGTCATTTTTAGCTAGGTCAGTGCAAAAAAAAATTTCTAGATCCTCTTTGGTTTGAGAAAAAAAGTTCTTTTTTCATAAGAAAATCTTGTTTTTACTTCTTTTTTGTAACATAGTTTTTTTTTTCGTTTATCTGCTTGTCAGCCAAAAAACAAATTGGGATTTTTAGAAGGCGCAACAGAACAAAAGTTCTGGCTAAGGGAGGTTCTGGATAAGGGAGGTTATTGTCTCCATTTATTGTTCTCTCTCTCTCTCTCTCTCTCTCTCTCTCATCCTCAGTTGTTGGAGGGGTCAATATGAGAATACCAAGGGTATGTGAGAGAGGTCTGATTATCTTTGACCCTCTCGACAAGATTTAATGGGCGTTCCAGATTGTAAAGCGTAACATTTAAGAATGGAATGGATTTTAGGTTCAATAACTTCGTTTAATTCATGAACTAATCATCAATATTGGCAATTTTAGCGCACTGTTTCCCACTCAAGTTTAGATTTGGGTTGGGTCTTCGTCTATTATATTGGAAATAAAGGCCACTATCATCATTGTCATTTTTTTTCAATCTATTTTTTTAGATTTATTTATTTGTTTATTTATTTTTGTATGGATTTTTTGATTGTGACATCCTCATTTTCTCTTTCCAAAAAAAATCTATGTTCTTTGTCCCTTATGATTTGGATAGATAAAGCTTGTGCTTTTATATATATATATATATATATATATTGCTTTCTGGTGCTTACGATTTGGTTAGATTAGTTTTGTAGTTACTTTTTGTTGCTTACAATTTGGTTAGGTTATCTTTGTTCACATTCAAATTTCCTATATCTTGCTAAGAATTATTTTTTTAAAGAAAAAAAATAAATCCATCTTTGCATTCTTTTGGAGTTGATCTACCTCATTTGTGACCAATTTTAATCTTCTTTGATATTCATGAGATTTTGTTACCAATTTTAATCTTCTTTGATATTCACGGGACAATTTTTCTTAACAATAGTGCATGACTTTAAGTTAGGTGGGAGGAGATGTGTGAGTTGTTAAGAGAATTTTGGGAAATAGAGAACAACTAATCCTTTGAGAAGAGATTTACTTAGATAGCAACCAATCTTTTGAGAGGAAATTTATGAAAGGTTTAGATAGAGATGGATAGGGAAGGGAGATTGAGAGAAAATAGGGAATATTAATCTACGGAAAGGAGATTGAGATAAATTAAGGAGAAAAGATGGAGAGAGAGAGTGTGTGTGTTTTAGGGCGTACGAGAGAGAAAAACAAAAACAAAATTTATTTTTATTTAAAAAAAAACCACCTGTTTTTACAAAAAAAAAAAAATTATTTTTAATGCCATCTTGCTTTCAAAAAATAATAATAATTAAGGCCTTTTTCATTTTTTGAAAAAAAAAGTTCCTTTGCTACAAAAACAAAATTTTTCTTGCTATTTTGTTTTAAAAAAAA